TCACCGACACGAATAGACTTTAATTCGTAAAAAAACTATTCGTCTTAGTTATCGGTGTGAGATTTGTTGTGCAGCTCATAAATAAACCTTCGAACACATCTCAGCGTTGATAACTTTCCAATTTCACAACCCTATCCTTCCTGATGATGTCAGTAGTATTTTTCGTTAGGCTGCTGCTATAATTTTGTAAATAAAATTCAGTTGAACGGACCCTGCGACTGCGCGGGAATAACGCTGGGGAGAGAAGGAATACAATTTAGTTGAGATTCTTACTTGCATGAAATCAAAATCTTTCAGATTGATGTCGATAATCGTGAAATTTGGTCGACATGGCTTAATCCATGGTGATTTCAACGAGTTCAATGTAATGCTCTTGGAGGTCGGTCGGAATATGGTTTTTTGAATTTTTTTTTGACGCGCAAGGACGCGTAGCGGAGGCAGGGCACGGAAGAAACAGTGCTTTTTATAAGTGACTTTTGTATGTTCTCTATCTGAAAAAAACCCCAAATACCGTGATTTCTATCACAAATGGACGGTAAACTCCCAATGTGTCTTTGTTGGTACTCGAAGGGACACTTCAAAACAGCAAACTAGGGTTGTAGTGGATAGAGTGTGCTTAGGCAGTTCTGAATACCAGAAATGCCTAAGCACACTCTAGACCGTGCGCAATTCAAAATTGAATCCTTCCGGTTGCTGCGAAACTCCGAAGCTATTTCCGCTCTAGGGCGATGTTGCTGTGCGACAAAGTGGAGTCCCACAATTCATTAAAAATTCAATATTCGCATGGCGGAGTTCCGACGCTTTCTCAGTTCGCAACTCGTTTGCCAAAACTATTTTATACATAGCAAAGACGTTCGTTACCTGTACCTGTTACCTGTTACAATCTATTCCACCGTTGCATGATGGGCTGCACTTTCTATTTTTGTGGTCCTTTGTTTTATGCGACGAACGCTTGCGGTGTTGTGATGGGTCTAATAACTGGGGTGTTTTTGTTATATTACTCAAATCGGCAAACTGTGGATGAAATTTGACTTGTTTCGAGTTGTTTGTGGTTGTTTTTAGAATGACAGGTGGGTGGTGTACGATTCCTGCAAAATGTATTTCGATCGATTCACATGGAATGCGGGACGTTTTACTTTAGATCGTTATGTCGAATGTGTGAGAACTTTCTTCTAAGGTTGCAGTAGTCATGATTTTTTTAGAGTTAGTTTGGTTTCATTCAGCGTCGATTTTTTTTTTTCTTTTGGGGGCATCTGGACTGCCACCTTTGATGTGATGGCAAGGCTTTCATTCTCCATACGTTATTCACCTTCATTTTCATTGTTGTGAAGTTCGAATGGGCTGAGTCGATTTGCGGTGCGGCGTAATGAAGCATTTCCTCAATGATATCATTTTGCCTACGTCAAATTTCGTGTCCTCATATCGTTAATACCAGGGTTTTCTTCTCACAAACAAGTATGTTACTAGGTAATTGATCTTTGAGCTTGAGATGGGTAGGCTAGTCTATTCGAAATTCGATACTGAATTTGCACCACGGGCCGTGCACACGATGCTAGTTGCTGCCTTTGCAATGGCAGACTTCCTGCTCGTTTCTTTTGTCGTCTTGCTCTAGAATGATAATGATTAGAAAATTTCTGGAAGAAGCCAAGTAGGCCAAGAATTGCCATTATTTCATTATTTTCCACTTTGCTTTAGCCTCCGTTCATACTTGTCTGTCTTGGGGCTATCGCTTCCTCCTTTTTTTGCTTCTTGCTCCGATGGAGATTACACAAGGCTTCTCAGCTCAACTCGTGTTCTCCATTTTTTCCCTTTCTCTTCTCACATATGCGATCGATGGGCAGCTTCTGCAATGCTTCAGTAGAAATGATTGAGCGGCGAGCTCTATTAAATATCTTGAAGCAATCAATATTGAAAGTCTGACAGCTGCATAGCAACTGAAGCCCCGTTTCGCGGATCTCTTACAAATACATTCAGCTCACTATGATTGAAGAAGCAAGCGTTAGTCTCTGATTACATTATCTGATTGAAATGGTGCATGTATTTTTGCTTAAATTCTGCATTTGTGTCACCTCTCACATGAGTAGTTTTTGCCAGTGTTAGGGCGTGGTTATACTGTTAAAAACATGTATTTTCAGACGAAAATTTGACTACGATAGCGATGACTACCCAAAGTTTTCGGATATTAGTCGTAAGTACAATCTGGACGTTGAGTTGGAGGCGAGTGGGTTCACAAAGCAAATGGATATTGATTTGAACAAGGTTATCTTCAATTCTATCCTGTTTTCGTCTTCTTTTAGTTCATCCTTTTAATATAATATTATATTAACATTAATGTAGGCGTACGACAGTGGGAACTTCCGTGCACATGTCAATGCCAATGATTTTGTGGAATCAGATGAAGATGAAGACGAGGAGGAGGTAGGCATCTATCTGGTGTTGACCCATAGGAACAGTTTTGGCCTTGATATTTCGGTGACGTGCACCTGCGGTGAACGCTTTCAATCGTTTGTTGGAATAGTACCGCTAGTTGCGGCACGCGTAGCACTGTTATCTAAATCATCAGGGTCATCGTTGGCGCTGTAGACAACTGTACCTTTATTACAGCTAGTCTAACAAATCCTTTTTTCAATCATTTTTTTCGCTGTTTAGTTTCCAACTGTGTCTGTTGCAAATTTTGCTTATCAGCTGTTGTTATTGTGAGTTCCAGAGCGAAGATGGGGAATCCAGTTTGGAACATGAAAATGATACGATTCCCGAGGAAGATGTAGATTACGAAGAACTACGTCAAGAAGAAGAAATTCGGCAAAAAGAGGTTGGGCCAAACTTTTACACATGTACATCTGAATTTGTAACCCACCAGTTCAAATGATTTATCAATAGGCAAAAATGCTTTCTCGATCGGAACGGTTTACGAATTGGTTAGGAGAGGCTACGACACAATTGGACCAGCTCCTCTTGGAGGAAAGCAGCTCAGCAGGTGATGAGTGCCCTCTGATTGTCCATCACAGAGAAATTGAACGAGAAAGTGAACATCGACCGGAGCGTGAGCCGTACATTCGTGCTCGGCAAGAATTGGATCGCATTGAGACAGAAGCGTCTGAAGTGGAGCACCCAAGCGAGCAAGAGGTATTATGCTCTACTTCATTGATTCTGAGAAAATTGCGAGATGAAGAATTGTAGGTGGAGGAGAGGCGACCACGAAGACCAACGACTGCTCCATCGATGATGTCTACCACGTCAACGATACCACCGGAAGAGATCAAGCGGCGAGTAGCTCTGGAAAAGTTGCGTAACAAGGAAAAGGTGAGATCTTATATCGAGAGTGGTAATAGATTGTAACTCGCCATGTGACCTAGCACTCATGTGAGGACGGTTTATACTTCTTCTGAAATGAGGACGAGCATGTATCGTAATTTTTTACAACTCAAAGCAAGCAAAACTTAGAAATGAGTAATTATTAAATATTTGTAATAACGTGTTGTGGTATACTGACGTGTTCATTGGTGGAAGATGACGGACCACTATTTTCGCTGGTTCACGTGACCCCTGAAACTATGACGGGGTAGAGCTTGGTTAGCAAATGGTGGAGCTACGACGAGGGAAAGAGATCCGTCATAGTCGACGATGTCTATTTCCATGACAAACTTGAGAATAGGCCAGGAACAATAATCGCGCAGCCATCATTTTCTTTATGGAAAAATAGCTCACATCTTTCACTTTTCCTCGGTTTATTTTGTTTTCCACCGCCTCTCATGGTTGCTCGAATGCGCCATTGTGTTCAGGTAGTGGTTGCGATAATTGAATACCTGTTATCCTTTCCGTTTCCTCGTTTTACGCTTTTGTTAGGTATCGCAATGGAGTTCACTTCTATGCTTGTAGACGTTGCTCCTCATCGCACTGACTCCTAATTTCTCGGTTTTTTAATCCTTACTATTCCTTCGTACGGCTCTGTGTTTCGTAACTTGTTCTCTTCCGCATTTTGAAATCTTCACTTATTTCTTTCACGACTTTCTAATCATAGGGACCTCCTTTTGGGAAGCTCAAGCCTTTTTTGGGAGGCTCAAAATCTATCGAACATTGCTTCGATGAACTGTTGAACATGAGATAAAGGTCAGCTCGCTGTTGACTTGATGAAGTATACGTTAAGTGGAATCCGTTCCAGACCAAGATTCGAGTGAAAGGCAAACAGAGTGCTGTTCGACGTGGACGAAAAGAGAATCGTATCACAATCAATGACTACAAGGGATGGATATAACGTCAATGTGCTGCTCAAAAGCCCTTTGCTCTTTTGAATGTTTCGCGTTTGTTTCTTTTCGTGCTGTCTCAGGGAAGATTTGCTGATAGATGTCTTCGTTATTTTGACGGCGTTGTTATCGACTTTGTTTTGCCGATTTTGAGGCGTCTTATGGACAGTTATCGTCTTAACAATAATCTTGTTTCGGATAGTTTATCCTTATGTGTTTGTTACTAGTTATTCCTATTTCGTTTCTTGTTATGTTGGCTTTGAGATAGAATGAATATACTTGGATAAATTCTATTGGTGCGTTTCGGAGTTGTCTCTCTCCAGCTGATATGGAGTCTGATGTTATATCATGAGAGTTTATCTCCCAAAACGTGAATCAAGTATTTTAGGAGTTCATCCGACTGGAAAGATAGCCTTCGGCAATGAAGGTGGGTATAGTGTGTGGGTGCTTTTGTGTCGTAGTAACCCAGATTCATGTCGTGTGAGAGAGGCCGATGTCAGACTTTGCGAATCCACTGATTCGCTAGCGTCCGCCCTCGCTTCGCGTACATCGGATGGCTCTATTCGCAAAGTCTGACATTGGCCTGGGTGTATTTCATGATCATGAGTCAATTATGGCATGATACGAAAGTGATGTCGAATGGATCGATCAGATGTTGACTAACCTTTATTTTGGACAGGGTCACACATTCGGCACCCAATTACTATTGTATTGGGTTTGGATGCTTTTTTTGACAACGCAGTGCCAAAGTCGTTTAATTCTCAAGCTGTACGCTGTACTATTGTACTTTCAACCGTTTTTTTTTTGCTAGATTTGATCACGGTATATTTGTCTCTTCCCAGCAGGCATTACAATGTTTAGGGCGGTAACGCCATATGTCAACAATACTCGACCATAAGCGCATTACCTTCCTTGTGGGGCTCTGCTTGCAGTGTAGCTACACTAGTTGTAATCAGACTGCCTGACCTCCCGAGATGTGCATGGAGCATACCATTGGTTTAAAAAATGTCGTTTTTTATGCAGTGTTCAGGTGGAGAGGGATTAGTGGTAAAATGGAACAGTAAGCGAGCGATGGTCAGATTCGTTGAATCACGGGCTGAGTCAAATGTTGTACGGTTTCGCGAAAGTGTTGTTGTTTTTGACGGCGATCGCCGTTCCACCCTCTTACAAGCACAATGCAGGAGACGAATTCGGGGTAAGGACCACTATAATGCGCTCCAGTTGACTAAGTTATGCAGATAGAAGATGCATGCTTGCAAATACATAACTATTTGCCAGCAATCGAAATTGAAGCGCTTCAATTGCGTTCTTATGGAATCGACCTCATACAGCGCGGCGGTCCCGCAACGACCGCTAGTCGAGCAAGCGCTCTGCACAGCGTATGTTGGGCGATCCGCCTCTTTATGGGTGATCCGCCCCCTCCAAGAGGACTTCGACCCCTTCCAGCGCATTTTAGAGGTAGGTTTTGAAATTAAAGACATTTCCTATAAACTTTAGTTGGGCTGGGGCATGTTTTGACCGCCTAATGACCAAGTAGTTGAAACCCTGCCTGGACTGTTGCTTTAAGCCGTGTCGTAGTGAGCAACTATCTGCTCGTGGACGCTCTCGAGCTGTGCAGAAGAACTTTGAACTGATTGTTGAAGCTGTACCATAATTGTGATGCAGTTAACACAGTTGATGATATCATCTGCATTGAATTTCGGTATGAGCGGAAGAAATGATATCATCGTTTTGCGACGCAGCTTACTTTCCACGCATTATTATTCATGGCTAACGAAAATTTATGGACGCAGTCCGATCTTGGCGTTCGAGTCCGATTTTCTCGACAATAGTTGTTCGCTGATGTGACTAACCTTGGCACCACGAACGAGGCTGATGACCTTTCGGGCTTGGCTTGGTCAAATTTTATCTTCAGCGGTATAGATTTACGCAGTGTTATTCAATGCTAGACTATTTACATCTCATTTAAAGGCTCGTTCCACGGTTAAAGGCTTATACCACGATTGGGAAGGTGAAATGTTGCGAATAAGCTGGAAAGGAGGAAGGGCCGTGGACCGTGCGATACGATGCCCCGTTACGACCTGGGATGTCGTAAAAGTGACATTATTAGGCGCCATACGCTGATCATCGGTGTTCTTTATTTCATCGCGCTGTTTGCCGCATATTCTCTTCCACATAGAACAATGGACCCCATATTTTCTTTGTTCAACGAACTTTTCCTTTATTGTTAACACGTTGACTACAGCGCGAGGCACATTCGCCCCGCACTCTGAGCACCGTTGGGACTGCGCGGGGCACATGCGTCTCGCACCCAAATCATTTATTTATTTTTCTGCGTGTGCACCACTTCTTTTTTATTTTGTTCTATTTTTTGTAGATCATACCATAACATGACTGCACCGTCGAGGTTCGCCGAATGATCAAATATGTCTTACTTTAGCGGAAAGTTGACCAAGCCCCAAGTATTGCGCATTTACAGCTCCGAGTGCACGTATGAGAAGGTGAGGCCGCAGCGCCTGCAAAACACGGTCTGATCCTGTCTGGTCACACGCGGTGAAAAAAGCGAGAGCAAGGTCGCCAGTGTCTCACCGTAGGCTTTACAGCTCCAAAAGCACGTATGAGAAGTGAGGCTGGGAAATGGGACGAAAGTGCGGTGGTATGAGAGATTACGCCTCTGCTACCCGGCCTGCTTCTGGTCCACGCACGCCGCGGCCACGCCTTTAGGTATTAAAATAGTCGTGGAGTCCAGGCTAATCAAACTTTTCCGTGGGTGGGTTAGAGCCGAGCTGTACAAAAGAGTAGAGATGTGCCGAAAACGGCTGCAGATGTTTACGCAGCGAGCTGTCTGAGTCTTGCTCGTCGCAGCGCTCTCTCGTGTATTCTCTTCCTCTTTCCTTAGGCCTAACTGTTTCATCGTTATACACTAGTTTAAAGAGGAAATTTTAATTCTGTATCGTTCTCATCGGTGGTTCTCTCGCACCTACACTTTTTCCTTCAGAAAGTGAACTTTTTGATTGCGGCATAAGTTTTAAAACTGTGTGCTTAGTGAGAGCACCATAAATAGACAAGTTCTTGCTTCCCATAAGTTACTCTGCGAATGATCAAAAGCGAAGAGTTCCCAGTTGCCTCAAAATTCTCGGAAAGTCTTCGAAATGTCCTTCGCAGTCTTCCTCTTACCCCTCATACAGGCCTCATTACGACCGGAAGCGCGGATTCCACTTATGATTGATGAACTCTAATCTCACAATTAGACCCATTCCGCTAGAGATTGCTATTTTACGACCGGCTTTTTTTCTGAGCTTGAAGATGGTGTATGAGCTTTTGCTTGCTAAGGCAAAGGACGATTGCTGGATATTCCCTAAGACCACGAGAAATCATTGTTCTCAAATGGAGCTAACCGTCTGAACGGACTATTACTGGCTTCAAGACGTCAAGAGGCTCCTATTGACCAAAGGCAAATCAATCACCGCTACTGTTATCAGCGGCGTTGACCGATGTGTCCTTGGTGGAGTTGGGGTATCTTTCATGCCCACTATCACTCCCTTTATGGGTGGCTGTGATTTGTTTTTTGGTTTCTAGTAGTGTTGTAGCGTTTCATGTGATGCTGGAGGAAGTCCTCTACTTTTCTACAAAAATTCCCCCTTAATTAATATCATACGATTTTAATATTAGTGTTGAAATTTACACTACAGACAATACAGTTACACTTGTATGTTGAGGAGTGTATGTGTGTGCACTTTGCTAGTTTATTTTCCTCAGATTAGATCTTTTCTTACTTACCGTTTAACTTGTTGTTTGTAGGACATGGCTCAAGGAAACGCGTACATTCCGGACGATTTCGAGGTAAATAGTTTTTATAAGTGTGGTGTTCTCACTAGTTCAGGGGTTTACGAGAAAATTCTATAGAGCAAGTTGTATTACGGAAAAAAACCAGCTCTGACTTCATAACATTTTTTGTTGATCGGTCGGAGATGCGTTTACAACGGGTTTGATACCTTATCTCTGGTTGTTATTCTCTTGCCGTTTTCCTCGGTGACCTTGCTATACATATGAAGGAACTGTTTGTTCTGATGGTTTTCTCGACATCAGGTGTGCGGAAATCACGTTCCTTTTTTTCTTACTGAAGGGACATGAGCCAAAATTTGCATTTCTAAGGTTTTCGCTGTTATTCGGTAGAGTTCTAGGGGTCACCCCATTGTGCTCTCTATGTCTAAAGATAAGAATAAAAGCGCTCATGACATGTAATCACTCATTTGAAGCAAACTTTTGATAAATACCGGTATAGGGTGGAAGGAAGGTGCTTCCCAAGGTTTTTCTACAGTTTGGCCCGCACTGGTCCAAGAAAATGCTCCTAAGCCAGTAGAATGGACACCTTTGCTCAGAAGCTAAAAGCGGAGGAGCTTTAGGGAGTCGACCATGATACGTGGATGGCGACGTAGCGGCCAATTCACAATGTGCTGGTTAGTTGAGCCATGGAGCGGGCGCCTTCGTACGACTCGTCTCCTTTTGCAACGGAAATTTTTGCCTTAGGCTTCATCGACGGTTTTGCTTGCTTTTTTCATTCTTAGTCAATCGGCAACCACAACTTCATTATTAACCACTGTGACCCCACAAATTTGATTTGGGGGTGTTG